TTAGGGTTTAGGGCTTGGGGTTTAGGGTTTGGGGTTTAGGGTTTAGGGTTTAGGGTTCAGGGTTTAGTAGGGTTCGGTTTAGGGTTTGACTGTCGACTTTTGGCGAGTAACCTCGGAAGAAGGCGGGCCCCTCTTGCCTGTGGAGGGGCTTAGCAAAGGGAAAAGCACTCCAGAAAAAAAAGGTAAGACAGAAATGAGATCAGCAGAAGGTCCCAGGTGGGTGGGGTGTAGGGTGTAGGTAGAGGGTCAGAGTTCTGTGGCTCAATTCCGGTGAAGATTTGCTCAATACAGGTAAGCTATGTATATGCGCACGCATATATATATATATATATATATAGGCATCTATATATATATATATATATGAATATATGTATCAGCTTATGCGTATCAAGATGTATATATGTGTGTATGTATGTGTATACATACGTATGTGTAGACATATATGTATATACACATACATACCTACCTACCTACCTACATACATACATACATACATACCTACATACATACATACATGCATACATGCATACATGCATCATGCATACATGCATATATGATATGCGTTCTAGACATGTATAGGTTTATAGATCTCTATGACCCCCGGTACTGAGTATACCATACTACGGTGCATTGTACCACACCTAATACTATCCAGTCCTTAAGCCCAACGCCCAAAACCCATTCTAGCGCGCTGATTGCGGCACGAGGATTCGCGTCACAGACCCGAGTGATCGTGTCTTTCTCTTCGGGTTCAGTGTTTGGGGGTTGGGGCTCACGGTTCAACCCTAAACCCTAAACCCCCGACCCTCAACCGAACCCCAGCCTCCCCCCCCCTCCCGAACCCCTGAGTCGCGTGCAGTGCTCACAGGGCTGGGCACAGCTGCGGGCACCACTGCGGAAGAAGCCTGGCCAGGGCAGCCCTTTGCATGCTTGCTTCCCTTCAGCAATCGTATCTGTTGCAAAATACAGAAGAGCACCGAAGTAGATGTCAAGAGGGGGAGAGAGAGAGAGAAGTGTGTACACAAAAAATGGCAACAACATTACAACAACAACCTGCTTCTGAGCACACTCATTCGCACGCATGGCAAGCATACGTTAAGGTAGCTGCGGGCGCATGATTGTGCAAGTCTGGCGTCTGGGTAGGTCGAAGCCCAAGCGGGATTGCATAAATAAAGGAAGTTGGGTATGTGGGAATTGGCTACCTTATAAACCCCCCCGCCCAAACCAAAAAAAAAAAAACAACCTTCTAGGCATTCTATGGGGTACCTAACTCCCTGATTCACTCTTGGTAGCCCAGTAACCATATCATGATTAAGGGTGGGTACCCATTTGGCGTTAGTTCCTTTTCAAGGGAACCAGTAACCCAAAGAACGGCGAAAGGGTACCACGCAGCTACACCCCAAACCCTAAACCCTAAACCCTAAACCCTAAACCCTAAACCCTAAACCCTAAACCCTAAACCGAGCCCTACAAAGAGCCGCGCGATGCCTGCCGCAGCGTCACCGTCGGCGAGACTCGACCTTCTCCAGTTTTTGTGGTCGGATGTTTGCCATGCTGGTGTTTAGCGCTTAGGGCTTCGGGCTTAATGTTCGGGGTTTGGGGTTTAGGGCTTAGGGCTTAGGGCTTAATGTTCGGGGTTTAGGGTTTAGGGCTTAGGTTGAGGGTTCAGGGTTGAGGGTTGAGGGTTGAGGGTGGAGGGTGGAGGGTGGAGGGTGGAGGGTGGAGGGTGGAGGGTGGAGGGTTGAGGGTTGAGGGTTTTAGGATTCCGAGCGTCTAGGTTAGCCATTTAAACCCTCTGAAAAGTCATTGTGAGGAGTAGGACATCTGAAGCTCAAACCCCAAAAGGCTGAATAGAAAACATCAGGCAGAGTATGCTGTGCCTGCGACGACTTACAAGTCAAACTGCGAAGTACGTTGCACATCTTGGCCCCCGAATACTCCTCCCAGGGTTAGCAGGGGATCCCATGAAAAATTGGCCTCTTCACCAGAAATTGCGAGTGCAGAGTGTGCATGCAAAAGGGCTGCATCCGACCTATCAAGGGCGATGGCGACCGAGAAAGCTGTGCCGCAGGCCTTAGCTGGACAGACGTAGTCATCCAGGCATGTAGATGAAGAATGCGGTGTCAAGGGTAGAGGGTTTAGGGCTTCGGGTTTAGGGCTCTGGGTTTAGGGCTTGAGTTTCAGGGGCAAGGGTAAGTCTAGTGTTGCAGGGGTTAAGGGGTCTCGGGTTTAGGGCACATGCTCTCTGATGCCAAGCCCGGTTCCCATAGCCAAACCCGAAGACCTAAACCCCAAACACCCAAAACCCTAAACCCTAAACCCTAAACCCTAAACCCTAAACCCTAAACCCTAAACCCTGAACCTTAACCCTAAACCCCAAACACCCAACCTTTAAAAGCCCCCAATACTAAAGCCAAGAGTTGCGCTCGACGCAGGTACCGAGCCACCGAAAGCCCGAGGCAACGTCTTCACCACGTGCCCCTCCCCCCCTCAGAGCACAACCAGGAGCGAGCTCACCCTAAACCCTAAACCCTAAACTCGAAAGCCTAAACCCTAAACCCTAGACCCTAAACCCTAAAGCCTAATCCCTAAACCCTAAACCCTAAACCCTAAACCCTAAACCCTAAACCTTCACTAGGGTGTAAGCCTTATGGACCCCGAAAACGAAGCCACTCCAATGGACTCCAATGCTTGAACCCTCGACTGGGGCTTCGGGTTTAGGACAAAACCTCCGGGCCCCTTGCCGCCCGTTCAAGGTCATACATCTGTATGCACCTTGCAGGAGGGGCGGTCTCCGAGGTCGCCTATCGAGGGCTTCGGGATTAGGGTTTAGGGTTTAGGATTTAGGGTTTAGGGTTTAGGGTTTAGGGTTTAGGGGCTTCAGGGTTTAGGGGCTTCAGGGGTTTAGAGTTGTAGGGTGCTGGGTTTCGGGGCTTAGGGTTTAGGGAGTGGGGTTTAGGGCTTAGGGTTGGGACGTTCCGCCTTATACTAACAGTCCTTTGTAGGGGATTATAGTACCCCCTACTACAATGCCTATTAAGGACTGCTAGTATAAGGGGGAACATCACAAGTTTTAGGGTTTCAGACTAGGCTCCGGCTTGGGCGATGTGGGGCTGTCCCTGGCCAAGGACCCCAAGGCACGTGGGTGCTGCGCTGGAGCCCCTAATATAGGGGCCTTAATAACTAAAACTAGAATAGGGTCTTGGGGGGTTATCCTGGTATAAACGTAAAGGGACCATAAGGGGATACTATTCGTAATTATTCCGACCTCTATATTAGTCACAGGCTCCTTCTGCAAAACAAATTCAAAAGACAGAACGCTCCTCCCGACCGAATGAAACTAAGTGGCTTAGGCAGGCAGTGTAGTATTGAAAATCATGACAGAAGAACGACCCCCCAAACCCTAAACCCTAAACCCTCAACCCTCAACCCTCACTCACCATCATCATAGCAACAGCGATCCAGATCAACCCCGGAACTGCGCCAGCGCTCTCGGCGGGCATTAAAGAATCTGGGGCGCCTACCCGAAACCCCCTAGACTCAACGATCACCCTAAAGCCCTAAACCGCCTAAACCCTCATCCCTACAGCCTAAACCCCAAAAACCCCACACCCCAACCCCCCCCCCCCCCAAGAAAATTGACCAGTGGGGGCACCTTGCGGCGAAGCCGGCGGAGGACTCAGCCCTGCGCTACCACCGGAGCTTGGGCATCTTTTCTGGGCTTGGGCGCAGCTAGGGGGCTGATAGGGTTTTGAGGGGACCCCAAGCCCCTAAACCCTAAACCCTGCTTCCCAAAGAAAGCTGTTTAGGGGTCTGGGAAGTCTAGTGGGGAATGAGATAAGGTACCTTTTTTGGGGGTCCCGTTTAAGGGTTCATGCGGGTGGATAAACCCCTAAACTCTGAACTCTACATCCCCGAAGCCCTCAAGCCCCCAGTCCCTACTAAGAGCCAGTTGGGAGGCTTTGGAAAGCTTCCGGCTCTCGGAGGCCTTTCAGGGTTTAGGGTTTAGGGTTTAGGGTTTCGGGTTTAGGGTTTAGGGTTTAGGGTTTAGGGTTTAGGGTTTAGGGTTTAGGGTTTAGGGTTTAGGGTTTAGGGTTTAGGGTTTAGGGTTTAGGGTTTAGGGTTTAGGGCACACATGCTCTTGGCATGGGCCCATCGATGAGTTTGAAATTTGGCTTCAAGCTCGAGGGTTTCGGGCTTCGGGTCCTTAGAAACCCTTCTCTATCGGATTGCCCTAAACCCTAAACCCTAAACCCCGAAACCCGAAACCCGAAACCCGAAACCCGAAACCCGAAACCCTAACTTGGGGGTTCAAACTCCCACTCCTCAGCCCTGAAATGCTCTCAAAACCCTAGAGCCCATGCAAACCCTGAACCCTACGCCCCAAAACCCGAACTGGTTGGGCTTCTAGGGCAGGGTTTGGGGTTTCAGGTTTTAGCAACTACGGGTTGAGGGTTTAGGGTTCAGGGTTTAGGGTCTAGGGTTTAGGGTTTAGGGTTTAGGGTTTAGGGCTTGAGTTAGGGGTTAAAGTCGGCAGAAAACCCAGGCACAGACCAACACCAGCCGCTTTGCAGCATGAGGCGGACTGAGGGTGTGGGCTTAGGGGGCGCCGACTCCATGAATCCGCGACTCGAGCTTTTGTGCCCAACTGGCCGGGAAAAGGATGAGGGACCACAGTTTGGGGTTAGGCGCTTTCAGGGCGTGAAGCGGGAAGCGAAGCAGTGTGGCAAGTCAGCCTCCACGAGACAAGCAGACGCCCGGACTGCCGTGCTCCAAGCTTGTGTAAGTCGTCCGCGCCAGTGCGGGCTTGCAGCTGTAGCCAGGCTTAGGGTTTCGCGTGGAAGGTTCCGATTTTGAGCCCCCCTCGTCGCGGACATCGACTCCACACGGTCCCGGTGATCCACGAGGTGGAAAAGGCCGCCGCCCGCGGGGGGCCCGCAGGGCATGTCGATTCACGTCAAGCAGGTTTGGCTTCGGATCAATTGCACCGGCAGCGCTCTCTATGCCATGACAAGGAGCATCCTGCGAATGTCCTGCAACCGCCAGCCAACGTGCTGGACAAGGGTCTCCCCAGACACACAGGAAGTCTCATCGTTCACCTCACACTGGGGCCCTTCCTGCATAAGCGCTTCGATGATGTGCCGATACGGCTCGGCAAGCCGAGACAAGTGCTCTGTGTCCGGGCTGTCGAAGAAGTGGTGCTTCAGAACCTGGGCTGGTGCTTACGGCACTTACCATACAAGGGATGTGTAGTAAATGAGTTGGTGTCCTTTATGCTCCCTCATCATGCTAACCACTAGCCCCACCATGACAACCTGCTTTTGGGCTCCTTAGCAGCAACCCAGGAGCACTACCAAGCATGCCTCGGTCTGTCACCTTCTCCAGAGCGGCGTCGCCAGCAAAACCCTCCGCCACGTGGAACGTCGGAGCCAGCGGAGGCAGCTCCACCGCGTGCACGCCGGAATCCCTCAAGAAGTCTCTTGCCCGGCTGAGCGGGGAACCGCTGCCCCCGAGCGAGAGGGCCTCGTCCACGAAGTCGTAGAGGCCATCCTGGGTCAGCTCCGCGGCCTCGAAATCGATGGCCACCAGACGGACTCGAGACTTCAAGTTGTCTGCGCTCACCAGAGGTCCGTCTGCCGGGAGGACCATGATGTTGGATGCCCACAAGTCGTTGTGCCGGACGCCGTGCCGCAAGAGGCAGCAGAGAAGCTCCACTGCGGCGACCAGCAGGTCGAAGACCTCCCGCTGCTCCCGCATCTGCTTCATGTGCGCCTGGGTACCCAAGAGGAACTCGGGAACAAAAAGGGGGCCCGTTTTTGGCTTCAAGGGGCTTAGAAGGGACCCTAAGCCCAAAAAAAAGGGAAGGAATAAGGGCCTACTCCGGGTCCCTAAAACCTAAACCCTAAACCCTAAACCCTAAACCCTAAACCCTAAACCCCTCAAAAAGGGAATAAGGTGCCAGAAGGTCAAGGCCATCCAGCCGCTCCATCGCAACCAGGCTCCAGAGCGGGCGCCGACCGGATTGATGGCCTGTGGAGGGCCAAAATAGGGTTTAGGGTTCAGGGTTCAGGGTTCAGGGTTTAGGGTTTAGGGTTTAGGGTTTAGGGTTTAGGGTTTAGGGTTTAGGGTTTAGGGTTTAGGGTCTAGGATGGGGCTCCTTGCGGGAACGGAACACAACAGTCAGTAAGAATAGGGGTTTAGGGTTTCAGGTATAGAGCTTGGGGCTCAAACAGGGTTTAGGTTTTCGGGAACTGGAAAAATTGAACACTCCCACCTATCAGCTTGGGTACGCAGGCAAAGTCCGGAGCAAAGAGGTGCAGGAACATGGCCTGCTTGAGGCCGAAGAGCCTGGGCCCCGGGGTTTCTTCGGCTGCTCAAAAGAGCTACTTGTCTCGACCCAGGAGTAACCTAGGAATAAACAGGACACCTTTTTGGTTTGTTTGAAGGGGATTCTAAGGGAGCCCCTACCCGAAAAAAGGAAAGGGCCTACTCCGGTTCCTAGTTATCCTCTTCTGAGCTCCGTGCGTTTAATGCTTAGATGCCAGCGAAGCCAAAACATAAGCCCATAAGCCCTGACACGCTTCGCCACCAGACTCGAAAAAAACAAGACTCTCAATCCTAAAACCCTAAAATCCCCCCCCCCCCCCAAAAAAAAAAAAAGCCAGGGCCTAAAATCCCAAAGAGTCCGGCTTCTAAACGCTATAAAAACACCCTCAACCCTTAAATTTCCTAAGCCCCTGGCATCTCAAAGCCCCAGCGACATGGGCGTGATAAACCCTAAACCCTAACCCTAAACCCTAAACCCTAAACCCTAAACCCTAAACCCTAAACCCTAAACCCTAAACCCTAAACCCTAAACCCTAAACCCTAAACCCTAAACCCTAAACCCTAAACCCTGAACCCTAACCCCTAAACCCTAAACCCTAACCCCTAAACCCTAAACCCTAAACCCTAAACCCTAAACCCTAAACCCTAAACCCTAAACCCTAAACCCTAAGTCCAAGCCCAAGCGTCATGGGCGTGATCTTCCTTACCAGCCCCTCGGCGACCTGGACTTGCTTGCTGAAGGCAGCGCCGCCCCAGAGGAACCCAGATTGCGCCACCTTGGGTGCAGGGTTTATAGGGTTTAGGGTTTAGGGTTTAGGGTTGGGGGTTTGGGGTGTGGGGTTTGGGGTTTGGGGTTGAGGGTTGAGGGTTCAGGGTTTGGGGTTTGGGGTTTAGGGTTTGCGGTTTGGGGTTTAGGGGTTCAAGGTTCGGTCTGCCTCTTCAATTTCTGCAAAACACAAAAAAAAAGGCGCCCGGCCACAAGCTGGAAGTCCTTGCCCGACTCGCCGTCCCGGAGCTTGAACTGAGGGACTGAGAGGTCCGAAATTCGAATCACCTGCCAATCCGTCCACCGCGGCCCCACGCAGAGGTAGTAGCTGCCCTTGTACAGGGGCGCCACATGCTGGAAGTGAATCTCCTTACCAGTCCGCAGACAAGCATGTTAGAAAAAGTACCGAAAACTGATCCTCTTGAGGCCAAATACGGAGTTTAGGTATCCCAAAAACGGGGGGGTTTTCCGATAAGACATCATATCTCAAAAGGGCATACCTGGAAGCTAAATGTTACCTACCCAAGCGCTGGACCGCAAACCCTGAACCCTAGGAACACAAAAGGGGGTAACCCTAAACCCTAAACCCTAAACCCTAAAACCCTAAAACCCTAAAACCCTAAATCAACAAATAAGGCCTTAGGATTCCTAAGATTCCTCCTGAAGCCAACTCCGCTGCCCCAACTCCGGGCCCTAAACGCGAAACTCCCTCCAACAACCAAACCCTAATCCTAAACCCTAAACCCTAAACCCTAAACCCTAAACCCGAGTTTCCAAGGCCGCAACCAGCTCCTCGCGGCGGTAGCTGCGGCCGCCGTCCGCCCCATAGGCCGCACTCCGCAGTTCCTTCGCGAGAGGTTACTTAAAGGTTCAGGGTACTTATTATCCAATTCTAACTGTACTTATAACCATATTAGGGTTTAGGGTTTAGGGTTTAGGGTTCAGGGTTTAGGGTTTAGGGTTTAGGGTTTAGGGTTTAGGGTTTAGGGTTTAGGGTTTAGGGTTTAGGGTTTAGGGTTTAACTGTACTTACAACTGTACTTATAACATAACCATATTAGGGCACTTAAGGGGCTTATAAGTACAGTTATAAGTACAGTTAGAATTGGTTAATAAGTGCCCTGAACCTCCAAGTAGGGCCGAAGGGTTTATGGGGTTTGGGGGTTCAGGGTTTAGGGGTTAGGGTTTAGGGTTTAGGGTTTAAGCTTACCCTCAAACCTTCAACCCTAAACCCTTGAGCCTTGAACTCTCAAAACCTTCAACCCCGACCCTCAATCTAATCGACCCCCAACCCGTACAACCTTAGAACTTGCATGCCCTGAGCCAGCCTCCTCGCCCTCGCCCATGGTAGGCCCGACCCACTCTAGAACCAGAGCCGTGGTTGCCAGCTGCCGCAAGAGGCCCACGACAAGAGGTAGAGAGGCCTTGGGTGTGGTATGGGGGGGGTTTAGGGCTATTCAGCTTGATTGTTGGGCTCGTCTGGGCTTTTGCAGGTTTTAGGTGCATTTTGCAATTTAGGTTTAGGGCATGTGGGGTTCAGGGTTCAAGGCTCATGGCATTGTAAGTTTCCGCACGAAACTGATATATCTTAGGGTTTTTCCCCACGAGCCCCTTTAAGTTTTGTTATTGCTAGCTCACGGGCGTACCATTCATCTCTCTGTACTATATACTTTGTGGCTCAAGCCCACTTTGAGAAAACAAGTGCCGAGGACCGGGCACAGATTAGTTTGTGTAGACTCTCAGAAGCCCACAACTTCGCACAAACAAACAAAGAAACAAACAAATAAACAAACTGCGAAATTGGTAGCCAAAGTCTACACAAACAACCCTAAAGTGATCGCGCAACTCCAGCCAACCTCAACTCCTTGAACAGCAAAGTTCCTATGAGCCTCGGCCTTTCTCTCTGGGCAAAGTTGTGCTTGAGCCACCAAAGTGGCAGATCATGAGTAGGGCTCATCTGGGGAGGAAAAGTGTGATTGTAATTACAATCACACGCCTCCATGGACTAAAGTTGCTTTAACTTTCGTCCACACTCAATCACACAATCGCTTCAAAGTACGAACCACCATATCAGAAAGACAAAGTTTGGAGAAATGTTTGAGTCGAAAGTCAGACATCGAGATGCATCTTCAGCTACAACAGAGAAAGTGATTCACTGCTAAAGGGTGGTTCAGCAGCATGCAAAAGTGAAATTCCCGCTCAGGCTCTGATGTCCAAAGTCGGCCCAATCAAGTGCAGCGACTTGAAAAAATGACATCCTCACACGCACTGACTGCCCAAGTTTGGCCCATTGAAGTGCAACAAACCGAAAAGTGGCAAAAAAGTGGCAATATCACAGAAAACCATGCTTCAAAGTCTGGAACTCATAGTCCTAAGAACCAACTCAGCTGGAACACAAAGTTCCCTGGCATCTCTGGTCAGATCAAAAGTGTCTTGCTGAAGAGGTAAATGCATCCGCCGAAAGTGCCTTCCCGTTGGAGTGTCAAAGTAACTATTCAGACCATCGCACACAAAGCACGGTGGCACCGCATGGTGCAAGCCGAATGCGAAAAGTAGGCTGGCACTGGGCATGCTAAACTCAGCCAAGCGCATGAAACAGTCAAAGTAACGTCGATTCCACACAACCAAGGTTCCAGATTCGAGACCAGCTTCAAAAGTCGCCTGCGGAAGATATAGACCAAAGTGAAAATAGATTCGCCACGTCTAAAGTTGAATCTGTGGCCAGACCTTTCCGTAATGGGAAGTTGGAAAGAATACAGGAGAACTGAGCTTCGGGGACTGAATGCAAAATTGGCACAAAGTCTGGCGCACCGGCAATCTCCGAGGACCTCAAAGCAAAAGTCCCTTGCCGCGCCTGGTGCATGCCATACTGAAAGTATGGCGTTGGCACTGTTATCCAGACCATTAAAAAGGATAACCGCAAAGTACCCCAGAACTGTAAACTCTCAGGACGATGGAGCCAAAGTGGACGCGTAGCTCGCTGAAACAAAGCCTGCTCCACCGGAGTGTACAAATACAAGTCAGGGCGAAGCAATCCTGGATAAAGTCCGCTCAAAACTAAAAGGCTGTTCGACCGCCATTGGTCATTCAGGTAAAGTTCTGGGAGAATTCTCTCCTGCTGACGACCTGTCGTGATGAGACGGATAAAAGTCTCAGGTTCAAACCATCTTCTGTATGTCTAAAAGTCCAGGTTGTCATCTACCATCTCGAATGGACCAGACATCTTCAAAGTCGTGGCCGAGCTACAAAGAAAATGGCTCCAATGACTGCCAAAACCCGATTGAAAAGCCGGGAGCGTAGAAGGAGAAAGTAGCAATAATGCTTGCCGTGAAAGTTCACCGTGCGAAAAGGGAACAAAGTTAGCCTCCAAAACAAAAGGTGTCGCAGCCTCGCCCGGCTGCGATCAAAGTCTCGTTGGACGATCTCTCGGCTCAAAGTCAAAAGTTTGAGCTCTCCTCTTTTAGCCAAAGGAAAGTGGCTTGCCCGCTCCAAGCCACTCAAAGTACTTTTGCCGAATCAAATGTCCACACACACACACACACACACCCGCACCCGCACCCGCACCCGCATACGCACACACGCACACCCGCACACCCGCACACCCGCACACCCGCACACCCGCACACCCGCACACCCGCACACCCGCACACCCGCACACCCGCACACCCGCACACACCCACACACACACACCCACCCACACACACACACACACTTTTTGTTTTAGTGCTCCACATATTCATGTAGTTGGAGATCTGCTGGAGAAGGACATGCTCAAGCAAGAGGTAGTGGATGAGCTCGTGAGTGATGAGGTAGAAGGGTCGCGAATGAAGGTTTATATGACGTATCATATAGGGTTTAGGGTCTTCTGCAAACTATGCTCATCACGCTCCGATGCTCCATAATTCACACTCTGATGCTCCGCAGTTGATGCTCACCCAATTCTGCTCATCACGCTCAGATGCTCTGCAAGTCATGCTCTGATGCTCCACCACTCATGCTCAACCAAGCTTGCTCACCACGCTCAGAAGCTCTACAATTCATGCTCTGATGCTCCACAAGTCATGCTCGCACAACTCTGCTCAGCACGTTCAGATGCTCCACGACTCATGGTCTGATGCTACACACTTCATGCTCCCGCAACTCTGCTCATCGCGCTCCGATGCTGCACAGTGCATGCTCATATGCTCTAACACTCATGTTCCGAACCTTCTCCATGCTTTCGTCCATCATCATGCTCGACATGTTCCATCACCATGCTAAAATGATATGCTCACGCAATTCTGCTCAGCTGCTATTCACAACACACAAGCTGAAAGCATCACGATCCACTCAAGCTGGATGGGCTCGAGGTCTTCTGGGGTTTGGGGTCTGTCATGCTCACGGCTCGAAGAATTCACCCACATGCCAAACAAAATACGAAATCCACGTTGTAAACTGCGTTGTGGTTGAGGTAGTTGACAAACTACAGCAAGGATGGTACCAATGCACAGCTTGCGTTACAGGACTTCTATAACCATCACTGCAGGTACGTGGAGATGGCGTCCCATCTCCATATCACTGTGCACTGAGAGCGTCTTCGTTGGCAGGAGACTCTCAGGCACACTCCTGCCCCCTGCTGAACATCATGTGCAAAAAACTTGTTAGATCGCAAATTCGTGCTTCTTTTCGCTCTCGTATGCAGTGCTTGTTGACGTTCCCGCATGTACAGCGGTGTGCCACACACACCCCTTTCGGGGCGACAAATGGATTGAGAGCATGGAATTCACACGTAGAGGTAGTCCAAGTCCACGAACTTTTCAGCTCTTTGTTTGGCTTGTTTGTGCGGTGCCGTGAGCAGGTGGATTTCCCATTGTCGCACTGTTCTGGAAGCAATCCTGCAAATTGGACAGGCGAGATATCTGTCCTCCTTTGGGTGGCATTTCATCTTCTTGACCTTCCCGTACTTGTGATGCTTCCGATGTCGATTGGGATTTGGACACGATCTGCTTCTGGGTGTATGGTAATCATCTCGTTTCTGGTACTTCAGGAGCATGTCTTGCACCCGCTTGGTGCTCTCCTCGTGACTCATCACATACTCGAAGTCCGCCCTGGTCTGGATGTAGCGGGAGTGGTACATGATCTCGTGGCTGGTCATGGGATCGTGTTGCCGATGTTAAGAAGGCACGGGTAGCAAGGTGATGGGAACAGCTACTCTTTATGCAAAGCAGCTGCATATGACGATCACAAGGCAGCAGATCAAAGAGAATGTTACATCGACTTACGGCTCCAGTCTCTTTCGCTCAACAAATGGTTCGGACACACTAGGATGACATTGCACAGACACTTGACGCTCAGCATTGACGCTTGTTCTATTGTTCATCTGGTCGTGGAATAACCCTGTGTGAAACTGCGCCGAACACTGATTGTCACACGTTTTGGCGCAATTGCACACTCTCTCAAAACTGAAAGATGCTCTGCATGCGTTAAGGCCTGCGTCGGTGGTGCATCTAAGCCGCATGTTCCTACTCAGCGCCCATAAGGTCAGATGTCAGTGGGGGATGGGGTTGAGGATATTACGGTCTGCACGTCGAGCATGGTTTGAACAACATCTCAACCTCTGCCTTCTGGTAGGACTTGACGTCTTGCTCGGCTGAATTGATTATCTTACCGCATCCTTTGCGATGATAGATGGTGCTCTTCTTGGTGACAAACACTACGTTGGGGTCCACTTCGTTGTTGAGGTTTGGGTGAGTGCGAGTGGACATCTTGGGTTTCGGGTCGAGGTCGATGGGTTTGTCACCATGGCAAAGAGTAGCGAAACCCTTGTAGTCGAGGAAGCGGGTGTTGGATGCCGATGCCGAGCCTGGGGTAGTGGCGCGTGTGGAGTCTGGATTGCCTTCTGTTTTGACCTTCTTGGACGCAGGGGGATCACGTTGCTCTTCAGGCTCTCCGAGGGGTCTGTGGCCGTGTTGGAGCCTTTGAATTGCACATGATGGCGTTGGTGATGTGTTGTGCGGCTAGAGCTTTGTCATGGTCCGGTAGCCGGAGGTAGCATGTGGTGATGTCGTTGGGGTCCGATGCGGCCATGATGAGCCATGCCGCCATCACTTCATTGGACGCCATTGCGCTGTGATGAGGTCTGCGTGGTCACTGAGCTGTCTACTTCAGAAGGGAAAGCAGTGGTGGGGGCAGGGGAAGGGAAACATATCAAGCACACTGTACAACACAAGAGTCAGCATGAGCTTCTCCGACGTTTCTTTTAGCTGTGTGGTCAGCAGTGGGTCTCAGGTCGGAGGACGTGGTCATTGTCTTAATGATCGGGATGGGTTGTGACTGGTGCTCCACTGTGTCCGAAGTCCGTTAGCCG